ATGATACTAAAATTAGCAAATCTACTGATTCAGCTTTGGAAGAGGATGTTGTTTCAGATAGTAAGGTGAAAAAGACTGGAGGAAGAAAATTGAGAACTGAAACTGTTTATGTTTCTGATTCTATTTCATCTACTGAATCTTCTAAAGATGTCTTGGATTTGTATAAGAGAAGTAGTTCTAAAATAGAAAAAATTAGAGCATCTGGTTGTGCTCTTGTTTTTAAATAATTATTCAACCTTATTTGGTTCTAGAGAAATCTTTTCATATCGGTCAAGCAAATTATTATAGTATCCTATGATTTCCAAATTCAATTGAATGCTAGAAAATAATGCCTTTTCGAGCTCTTTCATATGAATTATCATATCTCCATAATCCATACAATTTATACACTTTTTTTAAATCATCCTCACTAGTTAGGCTAGAGGAATCGGTGGATACTTAGGCTGAATCATGCATGGAGGATTCCTGAGAGACTACCTTCTGCTTCTCTTTTGGCAGATTCTTAGCTACTGGGGCTTTACTATATGTTGGAATAACATAGGTTTTCCCATGTAACTTTATGCAGAACTGGTTTTTATTTGGCTCAAGAACACCTTAGAGCTTTCGAATATTTGACATACCCAAAAATAGCATTGGTTCAGGTTTGCTATTATCTATACGTACAAAATTTCCAATGACTGTAACTGTCTCACTCTCTTTGTCCTTCATAGTAACTGGCACATCTGTGTACCATCCTAATAAATCGGTGATATGCCTAGAATTGCTCTTTATAGCAAAATCAAATAGCTTATCAGCCTTCTATCCAAGCGTCTTAATTGCCGGGTCATTTATACCACCAAATTCACTTCCCGAATCCAAAAAAGATTCAGAAATCGTTAAATCATTTATATTTATGTTCAGATATTGTAGAGAAGAAAACCACTCATCTAATTCCTTTTCCTGAGCCTTTCGGGACAAGCACATTTTACGTATTGCCAGTGAAAGTTTTGGCAACAGCTTATCATACATTTCAGGCTGACTGGATTCTGTTAGTATCTGTTTTTTTTTACTGGTGAATCATACCTGGTCTATCTATTATTTTCTTCATCATAACCATCTTCTTCATTATCTGAATCTGGAGATGTGTTTTGGAAATTTATAGGTGTAAGTGGCTTAAAATAAGTAGACCGATTGAAATTAGATCATACTATCTGTCTATTGAGACAACTACCTTTGCTATGGCCTGTCTCTCTGCAAATATTATATTTTCATATGTATGTCTTTCTCTGAAATTGATCAGCTAACTGGTTTACAGTATCCTGAGTTTCATTAATCCCTTCTTCCAATCTACCAATCCTAGTAGAGACATTGCTTCGCTGTGGATGAGGTCTTTGAAAAGGCTTTATAGAATAATCCAAGTCTAATTCTTTTTGGCTAAAGATACCTATATCTTTTAAGAATTTTGTTATGTAATAATCTTTTATGCCTTCTTCTGTATTTAGTGAAGATGGGGGCCCTCTTGGCTGTTTAACTGGTTCGACAGTTTGTGGAGCCGGTGTCTGTACTTTTTGAGCAACTATTTGCTGAGCTATCTGTGCTTAAAAATCAGCTTTTTGCTTTTCCAATAAAGACTAGAATTCAGTTTTTTGCTGTGCTAATGCATTTTGATATGATTTTTGTATATCTGCTATCTGTTGAGAAGTTGAAATAGGTGAAGAGTTATATATTTCTCGAGATGCTCGTTGAGATACTAGCAGATCAGATATTCTATCTCTTTTATGTCTAGCAATTCGTCATAACTCTATCTCATAAAGCTTTTTAGCTAATTCATCTAATGGTAAATGTTCACCAATATCCTTAGCTTTTTCAAGCTATGGAATAGGAAGAGCATCCAAGAACTTATTACGTAATTCTTCAGGTCTATAGTTAGCTCGTCTACCTATTCATAACAATTTCTATATAATTCATCTATAGTCATATTTCCTTTTCTAATTGTTCCATATTGCAAATTCCGAAGCTCCTCTTCCACTATAGGAAAATGTGTTTTTAGCCACCATATGGCTTGACCGAAACGAATGCTAGCTACAACTACTGTAGTACTATTATTAGCATTTGATGCATTAACAGCAATGTTAGTAGGATGACCACCTGCTATGTGCCAATCTTCATCCCAAGGACCCTCTACAGCTCTTAATTTGACTATTGCATTACCAGGTTGG